GTTGTCTACGACAAACCGAGTAATCAAGCGCATGTAATCAAGTGTTGTAACCGCTAAAGTCGTAAAAGGCGGGAATAAAACTTATCACCCCATAAATGTGCCGCGAAAAAGGCTTATTTAAAATAAAACTCTCATAACGCGACTGCAGAGTAAACAAATCTAACCCAGTTTCGCAATAACTAGTCGTAAAACAACCTCGTCTCTGCCCCTAACCTGGCGCGAGCTGTAAGCTCGAGCGCTAAGAAAAAAATGAGAAAAAAAAAAAAAAAGAAAACACATTCGCTCATTTATTTACGAGTACCGCCTTTAAGGCTTGCTTGCTGCTCGAGGCCATTAGCAGGACCACTATGTCTATCCCTTTCCCACTCAACTAACTGCCACTAAGCTATCTCCGACATATTTGCTTTTTTATTATTCTTGGGGTTAAAACACTTTGCACTAGTGTGGAAAATGCGTTAGTAAGGGCGTACTTTCGAGTTCATTTGCTCTCTAACGTATGTACATGTAACGGACACTGCGGGGATTCCAATTGTTTATCTCAGCTCATGAGAGAAAAGCCCACGCTATATTAGTTTTTTGCCCCCGTTGGATAACAAAAGAAGTCAATTTAGGTCTACAAATACTTTCCAATATTAATTCATTTTATGGACTTAATTTTTCAAGTTTTCATGCATTTGCTTTACAGTGATATTAGTCAGATATCGAACTATTAATTTAAACTTTTGAGATACACGTAAGCCCACAATTCTGTAACAACATAAATGTTACTGCAATATTTTCTGATTGGCGTTTTGGACTACACTTTTCCACCTACAATCTCCTCCTCCTATATTCTTCGCCACCTATATTAAACTATAAATGCTAAATCCGTTATTGTAATACACATTTGGAATCTCACAATAACGGAATATTAATATGCTAATATCAATTGTCGTAGGACTGAGAAGCAACTGCTGTTGCACGAATAGGTAATAGATTCATCCAAGGAGGTAACTCAGTGTCACAGAAGGCTGGCCTTAAATCGGTGTTATATATTTGAGATTTGTCTCGTTAGTGAAATATCCGGAACCAACTCTTCAAAAGCTTGGCAACCGCATCTATAACTCCACAGGTGAGAAAAAACTACAAGTATTTATCATTTATAAATATTCACCGTACGAAAGTGCTGTTGCATTAAAAAAAAATATATAATTCGATAGCCACCAGCCTGCATGTAAGTAAGCAAGAAATGAGAGTTGATGTTAAAAACTAACGCACTTTACAACCCCTCATAAATAAACATACTGATATCAACTTCTAAAATGCTTTTAACTTATATATCTTAGTATAATATCTGCCGCTACTCCTCCACTTACCGATAAAAACATTTGTTTTTTATTTTTTTTGTATTCGGTCGCCTATTGGAAATATTTAGAATAGATGGTGGTGCGGTTTATAAACTACTACATGCGCACAGCTTTCGAGGGAACATCCACACAAGGATTCTGTGGGATCAAATAAATCCCGAAACGAATACTCCCTGATAGTTTTCCTTGACATAATTACGAATTGTGAGTACGTTTTCTCCGCAAAAACCACTCTGGATTTAATAGATCGTTATCCAGAAGTTTCCTTTGTTTTGCGACTGGGATGCGGTAGGAGAATGGCTCAAAGTTTTAACCGTGGATACTTTTCTTCGATTATCGTTTTCGTGAATGAAAAAAATATAAAGTTGGGATACGCCGCCGAGAGCGAAATTTTTATTGCCACGACCGTAATCCAGATTTTATTGGTTTCGAAAAAATACATCACTCATTTGGCTTAGGTTACTTGAGCAAGAAATTATGATATATTTAATGATGCTTTTATCTTAACCTTACTTAAGGGTCTTCCAATAGGGACTTTCGAACTTTGAGAGTTGACAGCTGTCATATTTTTGAAGGTTTATTCTGAGTGAAATTGGACGTCATGGATGAATGAGTGCAAATGGTAAAATTGTTTGATATAAAAGGAGTGTTTCTGCGTTTCACGAAGAACTCAATCATCCTGCCGATTGACTATTCGTAGTGCTGTGAATAATTGCGTTCACTGGTTCAGTAAACAATCAGAAAATACTAGTACGTCGACTAAAAATAAGATTTGCCGAAAAAATCGCTGCTGCCGCTTACCCGTACAATTAATTCTTGGGTTCTACACCGGTACATTCATTTGACCCAGGAGCTGACGGTAAACGACCATAAATTACGAAGCGTTCGCTGAGTGGACCCTGGAAATAACCTGATTTTCATCGAAAAAACACTTCAGCGATGACTCCCCTTGCTGGATGGGTACGTCGACAAGCAAAACTGTCGAATTTGGGACGATACCAATCCATAAGAGATCTAAAAGCGTTCAATGCAGACCGAATAAGTAACTGTTTTTGGACTGGCGGCAACTTCACTTGGTCAGAGCTGATATGAACACCAATAATATGTGGTTTCAATTGTACGCCGCTATGTCAGCTCATGCCACATTGTACACAATGCACGAATAATTTGAGGGTACGGTCATCTTGAGCGGAGGTGATGTGAATTGGCCACCGAGATCTTGTGATTTGACCGCGGTAGAATTTTTCTTATGGGGTTTTCTTAAATCGCATGTCTAGGTCAGGCAAAAAAGCCACAAATCACAGCAGCCCTCAAAGCTAACATAACCTATCGGTCAAACTCATTATTTATGTGCCAGAGTCATAAATGTTTCAATTCGCCGTTTTGGATGCACATCGCCCAGCGGTGGCGAGGCGGACGTTGCATGGTGTTATATTCGATACGTAAAGGCACCAATAGGCCTTTCAAACGAATTAAAAATTTAGTGATATCTCACACACACTTAGGTCTCATATTTATTAAAAGATAACTAATTAAAAAACGCGTTATAAAAATGCCATTTCTGGTCGAAGAGAGGTTTAGGGCATATTCTGCCTCGCGACTGCAGATTAGCAGACGTCACATATCTTTCAAATATTTTTTAAATTATTTTGATAAATTGCATGTTTTCTCGTGATATTTTCCTTCAACTAAAGTAAATCAGCGCATCATCAGCGCATCACACTGCAATAATAACTTAATTGAAATTGGCCCCTAATTTGAACTTCATAAAACATCAGACATATCAATAAAATGTTGTAAGAATTTTTCAAATTCGCAATCAACGAGAATCCATTTACATCCCATTAACCCTTTACCAATATCAACATCAAGATGGGAATTGTGTAAAGGAACTCAAAGCATCTGTTGCTGTGACTTCAACTAGAACCCTTCGGAACCTTTCCGTACGCAACGCGTAATTTAAATAATAAATGTGAAGTTTATTTAATTTAGATAATGTGCACAACTTTCAATCCCTAACGACTAAATCATCGCGTTTCTATAACTTTGTGATGCTAAAATTTGCTATTTTCATGAATTTATCATTACAATAGTAGCAAACAAAAATGTAAGTGAATACTGTAGAGAAAATTGTATATTATGCATTGTTAAAAACGACATTATAAACTTTATTAATATTATTCCCCTCGTACGAGTACACTAGCCAAAAATGAACGTAGCCAAAAGCGTAAGATAAAATACACCCTATAAGTTGTACGGATGCGATGAGAGATAAAATACGAAAAAAGTGGGAAAAAATTTAACGTTTGGCGAAGGCTAAATTTAGACTACTGCGAATGAGTTCAAGCCAAGACCTCGAGTACCTGATACGAGCTGACTGGCGCCACTCTGGCATTCTGAATCACTGCCAAACCAGCGACCTTTTCAAATGCATATTTTTTACGGCACTAAGTTACACTTGTGGCGGAATTTCTGTGAAAACGATCAGAAAATGCATTGATCATAAATAATATGTAAAGAAGAAAAAAATAAATACTTATTTCAATTGTTTTCAGAATCGTTTCAATTTTTAGTTTATTTTCGCTATTGAGTAAAAGTAATAACTTTTTTAATTTATCCTGTAACAATTATTGAAATGGGAAACTTGTCTGTTTTTAACCGACTTCAAAAAAAGGAGGAGGTTTCTCAATTCAACCGTATATTTTTTATGTATGTTCGGGGATAAATTCGTTATTTATGAACCGATTTTGATGATTCTTTTTTTTTTTTGTTGGAAAGGAGATATCCCAAGGGTGGTACCATGATAAGGAAACCCGGATCTGATGATGGCATTCCAGAGAAATCGAGGGTAATCCTCAAATGTTAGGATTTTAGTCGGTTTTTTTTTTGTTCAAAATTATTTGGTTATTAGGTTATACTGAGTTAAAATAGGGGTTGGATTTTGTGACTTCTTTTTATTAAAGGCGTCGTATTAATAACTAGTGTGCGTAAAAAATAATAAATTTAGGCCAAAGTTATATATTCGGATGGTAATTAAGTGAATATTTAATTAATACGTAAGTTAACTAATATATTCTCACAGCTCTTATCGAAAGAGGTAAAAGCAAATCCTATAACTGTATTAAAAAAAAAAAAAAAACTGGATTCGATTTCGCTACTTTTTGTTCTGAATAGCGTACATTCCGATTCGGTATGTTTCTTTCCCCCTTTGTAGCCGCGTTTTATTTTTATGGTCTTGTCTTTGCAAATATTTCCCTTTGCCTCGCAACCCATTGCAATTCCAAAGAATTTCCGAATACTTGGCAGCGTATCCAACATACGGGGTAATAGCAGCCAATGAGTTTCATAAATATATAGGACTGAGTAATGAAAAAGGAGGGATTGCAGGAGGCCTTTGCCGATTGGCAAACAGTATATAAATTATAAGCAATTTATAAACATTACAATATATAGAAGTAATTAAGATCAGTTAAAAAAAGAGAAAAAGCATATATAAATATTGTAGATGTATCCATAGTTCTTTTTTTTGTTCTTAATTCTTTGTAATAGATACTATAAGTATACTATAGTATAAGTTGGTATGAATAAAGGGCTTTATTATTATTATTAATGTAAAAGGAAAATAAAAATTAATTTTAAATGCATCCAACTTCAGCTGTATTCACATTTCAAATCGATAGCCTCGTCGTTGTTCTGCTGCAATTCGGAGTCCTTCGGGATGAACTTCGGAAAACCCTTCTGACCTCTCTTTATAGTCATCGCGTTTTGATGAACCGAACGCTTCATTCGTAGAAGGTACGGCAATATGTCGACATTCTCTATCGCACAATCATTACTCTCATTTTCCCGCTTGTCCAGCCCTTTGCAAGTCGAACACACCATATCTAGCAGATGCGCAGCGTAAGAGATCAGAGCTGTTACACCGTGCGCGACGAAATATAGAAATAGAGAGAATCCAGCCATGATGTAGATTTTCTCAACGTTGTGGAGTATGATTGCCTTATTATACTCACTGTGCTCGTCATTCTTATTGATGATAAGGCGAATGACACTCATCAGTGGCGTGTACATGCCAATGTAAATGACTAATCCAAAATAAATGCCGGTCGATAGAAGGTAATAGGTTCTGTGTCTACTCGTTGTGTTATTGACGTACTGAGTGATTTTGCGGACATCGTAACCGGGGTTCAGAAAAACAAGGATCAAGGACATTTGCGCCAAAAGAAGGCAGGTCAATATTACAAAATATATATCCATTGGTTGTTCAGACTCCGACCGGATTGAAGAGAACTATACCACGTGCCTTACGACATGTTTGCTTTGTGAAATATTTTATTGTAAATGTTTTGAAAACTGTTTTGGTTCGAACATTTTGATTGACTATATTGACAGCTTAGTTTTTGAAGTTTGATTTGTTTTTATTTTGCGAACGCCGCTATGTCTAGTGATACAGACACAAAAACATTTTTTCATACACTATGAACTCCTGCCTTGATTTATCAGGCGAGGTGAAAAAAAATTAAATATTTGATATACATTATAATTGAATCTTCTTGCTATGTTAATATATGAGCTTCGTTATATATACTTACAGAATAAAAAAAATAAAAAAGCTGATCATTACTGTGTATGAAACTAATATATTAATTAAGTAATTAATCGAGTCATGCATATATTTTTATTTTTTTATTTATTATCGGCTTAAGCTTATTAGAAAGCATGTAGGGTTTATTCGTAGCTACAGAGAAGCGAGTTACCAACTAAGGGGGCGTGTATCGGCATTACTCGTTCAATTCATTTGCTGTATAGAAATAAGTGCAAGAAAATAGATACAACTTCCTTCCAAATTATTTCATACACACAGAGGGGTGTATGTATGTACAGGCAGTCACGAATATTCTTACCGCCGTGTCTTCTTCCCTACAACCCTTCGATTCCGTCACCCTTCAAACGTTGTTATACGTAATTGCATACGCGCGGAGAGTGTCTGCTCCCCCCGCTTGATTGAATTTGTTATCAAGCTTTCACAATGCCGCATCGAGAGCGAATATTGTAACGAGAAGTCTATTTGCCCTGTCGATATCTTGCCTTGAAACAAAATAGCAGGGCAGTGCGCGGCGAGGCATGTATTTCGCGGGGGAACATATGTCGCTCTTGCTCCCCGTACACGTAGCCTACGCTACCTGGAGACCAACTTGGAGCAAGCGGGAGGGCGCATATCGCCGTCCCCCTCCCGCCCACACCACGTGTTTACCCTCGTCCAGGTGCCAGCCTCCCCCGTTCCTTTATCACGACCATTGCCTATGTCGATTCAATTATTTTGTACTGTTGACTTTGCGGATGTCGATACTCTCAAGGTCGTTTTAAATTCTAAGCGTCCAATTTAACTCCGTCTGATTGTTAATTACATTATTACATTATTCGGATTACATAGAATTACGCATCCAATAGTCTATACGCAATATCAAATTTGTATATTGAATAGAGTGTACAAAAGTATCTAAATGAAGAGCTAACCTTTCGGTATTCCCGTGTTTGCATGAATGTGTTTTATTAATCTGTGATAAAGATAGTAGATAATGTTGTTAGGGTACATATAAATATGTAGGTATTCATTTTTACAAAAAAAAACTTTTGCGAACGTTTTGCGTGGATCGTATGGCGTACTGATAACAAAAAGTTTACCAAAACATGTCCTACGAGTGTATGTAATATAATCAGTCAATACTTACAAAATATACTAATACCTATATTGAATAAAATAATGTGACTCAACCCGAGCACACAGGCTTTTTTGCCATCTTCTTGCGCATACAAAGGAATAATTAAAATTTATCATAAATAATAATAATAATAATAATAATAATAAGCCCCTCCAAATCCAACCATACGTCCGAATCGACCATCTGATTCACGTGAGGGGCGGACACGTGATTAATAATTACTGGCACGGCTAACATGGCACTGGTAACCCATAAAATATGGAGACGCAAAGAAAAAGGAAACGAATAGGGCCGCTTCCCGAGGGTGATCGTCGGGGCACACCTGGAGCTGACGCTGGGTGTCTCAGCATGCGAACCGTCAGCGGTGAGGAGTTGAACAGGCGGGCTCTCACCGATAATAAAAATACTACAGCCGAAACAACAGACACACCTACACAGAATACTATACATGAAACGACGAGAAGTGCTTTGCAGGAAATGCGTCCTGCAACCACTCTCGCTGGCAGACAACGGCAACGGATGAAATGGAGTGATGAAATTAACAAACAACTACTCCGTTGCTACTACACAGTCACACATTGCGAAACTGATCTCACTGGATATCGCCCAGAACTTTACAATAAATTCATCTCTATCTACCCCGACCTACATAACATCGTTTCACAACAACGATTAGCAGACCAGATACGGGTTATACACCGCAATAACAGAATTTCTCTCACAGAGAGAGAAAATAATTAAGACAGAAATACAAAATATTTTAAATGATCCTATTTCAATATCCAATCAAACCAGTCACTTAACTACAACAGACACAAATCGCCAATCTTACCAGACAAATACAGACATTCAAGAAACGAATCTAACCCAACCAACTGGAGAAACCAATGTACTTCAAATATTAGATATCCAAATGCCAATTACACAAACAACAGGAACATCCATATTACATACATCTACACTATTATCACACGTACAAAATGTTACAACGCAAACACAAGCATTAGACACTGAACCAGAAAACCTTGATATTGATACTCTACAAAAGTGTAATCATCTATTTAATGAACATTTGACAAAATATGTAGGAACTGATCCCCTTACACGACCTGTACTGCCAAAACTAAACATTACGCGTAAGTCAAAAACAACAGTAAACATGCTGAATCAACTGATAAATAACGAACTAATAAATATTACACAACCATCCATAGAACAAATACATGACATAATTTACTGCGCAGCATTAACGGCAACATCAATACACAATAATACAGAAAAGCGTAACAACAATAAAAGTATCGAAAAAGAAACGATTAAAAGAAGTATCAATAAACCAGCATGGGAGAGACGACTGGAAGTTAAGATTGCAGCCCTCAGAAAAGATATAGGAAGAATAAATCAGTATATTAAGGAGAAGCTATCAATCAAAAAACCAAAAAAAAATGAGTAAAATTTATAAAAATACACAAGAAGCAATAGACAGCCTTGACAATAAAACCCAAAAAATGCAAGCATTGGCGAAAAGACTACGAAGATATAAAAAATCTAACCAAAGACACAGAGACAATATAATGTTTAGCAATAACCAGAAAACATTTTATAGAAATTTCAATGAAAAGCCAATAATAAAAGAACCACCTAGCATAACAGAAGTACAAACATTCTGGGGAAATATATGGTCAAAACCTGTGGAACATAATAGTGAAGCAGAATGGATTAAGGAAGAACTTGAAGCAACAAAACATTTTGATCCTATGCCAGAAATTACAATACACAAAATAGATATAGAAATAGCAATCAAAAGGACGCTAAATTGGAAAACACCTGGACCGGATAAAATTCAAAATTACTGGTTAAAATATTTTTCATCAACTCACGAATACATAGCCAATGCTTTTAATACTATCATTCAAGATCCACGCAGTTTACCCAAGTTCCTTATCATGGGAAACACTTATCTAATACCAAAGGATGAGGATACGGTAAACCCAGCTAAATACCGCCCAATCACATGCCTACCAACACTTTACAAATTACTCACATCTATCATCTCACATAAAATCAACTCGCATCTTATTCAAAACAATATTATAGCTGAAGAGCAGAAAGGCTGTAGAAAAGGTTCAAGAGGCTGTAAAGAACAATTAGTAATAGATACAGAAATACATAATCAAGTTAAACAAACACACAGAAATCTACACTTCGCGTATATCGACTATCAAAAGGCATTTGATAGTGTTCCTCATTCTTGGTTAGCACAGGTTTTAAACATATATAAAATAGACAGCAAATTAATAGAATTTCTGCACCACACCATGCAAAGATGGACAACTATACTTAATATTAATACACCGACGGGAACGATCCGTTCTAGTCCTATAAAGATAGCCCGTGGTATATTTCAAGGGGACTCATTAAGTCCACTATGGTTTTGTCTGGCGTTAAATCCATTATCCCGCATATTAAATAGAAGTAAACAGGGCTATATATTAAACAAAGATACAGATACAAAAAAATTACACATCTCCTTTACATGGACGATATAAAATTATATGCAGCTAGCAAACTACAAATAAATAATCTTTTAAAGGCCACAGAACAATTTAGTACAGATATTAAAATGAACTTTGGAATTGATAAATGCAAAATAAGCAGTATAATAAAAGGAAAACACTACGACACTGATCCATATATATTACAAACACAACGTAACCTTCAAATAGATAATATGGAATTAACAGATACATACAAATATTTAGGATATTCACAAAGTACAGGTTTAGACCATAATAAGATAAAAGAAGAGTTAACTAAAAAATACATGGACAGGCTCAATAAAATACTAAAGACAGAATTGACGGGAAGGAATACAATTACAGCTATTAATACATATGCAGTGCCAGTTTTAACATATTCTTTCGGAATCTTAAAGTGGACAGCTACAGACTTGGATAGACTAAATAGACTCACACGAACTACTTGTAATAAACATAACATACACCACATCCATTCGGCAATAGAACGGTTTAACTTAGGGAGAAGATTAGGAGGGAGGGGCGTAGTCGATATAAAAAATCTTCACAATAAACAGATATACAATATTCGCACATACATACACAGAAAAGCACAAATAACAGTCCCTTGCACAGAGCTCTCACACTAATATCCACTTCAGGCACACCTTTAAAATTAAATGACAGTAATATGGTTATTGAACAAATTGCCACAGATGAACAAAAAATTAATAATTGGAAACAGAAATCTCTTCATGGAAAATACCCTAATCAACTATATCAAGAATATATAGATAAAGAAGCATCAAACGCATGGCTCAGTAAGGGAAGT